CCATCCAAAAAAATTGGAAATGAAAAAATCCTTCTAAGGCTTAGATTTAAGGATCTCACCAAAATGAATGGCCTATATTGATTGGGCTAAAAAAATACTTTCTAGGTTGTGTTTTCAACTCTTTGTTTTTTTGTGATTGTTCATTAGAATGAAAAGAGTGTATATTTCAAGATTTGGATCAAACAAATGGCTATAAGATGGTTTTTTAAGGTTGTTGCATCTTATTACTATACAACGGTTGCATGAAATCATTGCCCAATAAAATATATTTTATTATGCAATAAATTATATTGTATATTATACAATAAATTATATTGTATATTATACAATATATTATATTGTATATTATACAATATATTATATTGTATATTATACAATATAAGGGGGGGGGGGGGGGGGATGGGGTTCATAAAAAAAAGTTCCAAGTTTAAGTTCCAACCCTTGGGTTGGAACTTTTTTTTTAAAGCTTCCTTGAAGTTTTGTTTGAAGTTCAATTCTTTTATCAAACACGAAACTTGAACAGTATTAAGAAGTTCTAAACTTTCAGGAAGACACTTCCTGTTATCAAACATGCCCAGAATGTGAGTTAGAAGCAGGAAGTAGGCGAAGATGATGATTGAGTGGTTGGCTCCGTCGGTGGAGGGTGTCCATCCTGCACTTTCCTTATTATGTAAAACCTTTATGGGCTGCTATTAAGGGACATTATGATGTGTAGAAACAATAGGTTTAGCTGGTCCAGGCATCTGAGGTGAAGAAGAAGCATCAACAAGAATAGGAAGAGGAACTATAGAAGATGAAGATTGTGAGACTTCTTTTGGAGCAGGATAAAAGAATTTTGTATCAAGTATGCTACCCTCCTATAAAAATAAGGAGTACCTTCAAAACAGGTAACACAACACAAATAAATATTTTTTTGTGAACCAAGATAATAGCATCAATAACCTTTCTGAAAGTGTAAATACCCTAGAAACAAATACTTGACTTCTCGAGGATCTACCTTGTCATTAGCAGCACCTAACATATGAACAAAGCAAACACACCTAACCACTCATGGAGGAACAACGAACAATGGAGTATGAGAGAAGAGAACATAGTGTGGTGTTTTTCCATTCAAAACTGAAGAGGGCATACGATAAATTAAATAGCATGAGGTCAACAAGGCATCTCGCCAATAAACTTTTGGATCATGCATATTAGTCAACAAAGCGCAGGTTCCTTCAAGTAAATGTTGATTTTTTCTTTCAGCAACACCATTATGTTGAGGAGTATGCCCACAAGTTGTTTGATGCCAAATTCTATTTTGAGCAAAATAATTTTGAAATTCTTTGAAAAGATACTCTTTAGCATTATCAAAATGTAAAAACACACATTCTTATTGAATGAAATTTGTATCTCCTTGTGGAACAATTTAAAATGTAGAAAATATCGGATCTTTCTTTTATTAAATATGACCATCATTCATGAATAATCATTCACAAAAGTTATAAAATATTTATGGCCAGATAAACTTTGTACTCTAACAAGACTCAAGATATCAAAATAAACAACTGTAAATGGAACAAGTCTCTGTTTATCAGATCTAGGACGAATGACATCGTATGATGCTTTCCTAACTGGCAAGCCTCAAGTAGAGACAGATGCTAAAGAAGGGACTAGCAACTTAAAGTTCTTGAGAGAAGAATGGCCCAGTAGACAATGCCATAGAAAGGGAGAAGTAGCAGAGTGAAGAGCATGATCAATCTGATTATCATCCAAATAGTGGGGGCTACCTGACTTAAACGAGGAGTAAATATTTACGGAGTAGTGAAGAGATATAGCACAATTGAAAGGAAACTTGGAACATATAGCACAAATGATAGAAAAAGGGTAGAAGTAGGCATAACTGTGCCCTGTCCAAACACACAAGACATTGATCTATTGGCCAATGTAATAGAGGAATTACAAAGATGCTTATCTACAGATACCAAAATAGATGACTCACCAGTGATGTGTTCAGAAGCTCCTAAGTCCATTGCCCAAGGAGTAGGTTTCTGAGATGCAAGAAGCACAAACGTACTTGAGCTAGCAAGGAGGAAGTGGAAGTAGGAGGATGGACACTAGGCTGTCGTACTTGTTTAATAAGTTTAGTATATTTCGTTTTCCTGTGAGAAAAATAGACTAACCATCAGAATTTGACTGTAGGTAATGATAGCTAGGCCCATTCAAATAAACATCATTGCCCTCAAATGTGTAAGGAACTTGATTTGCCCAAGTAGGCTGACCAATCTTATCCTAACACTTATCAGCTATATGATTTGTATTGCCCACAATGCGTACACCTTTGAGTTCCATGACCCCTGCTAATGTTCAAGAAAGCAGTGGCGCTGGCCAGGCAGCCGCCTAGGCAAGGGCTCAGGAACGTGGACGCTCTGCCCTGCTCCTTCTCTCTCTCTCTCTCAAAAGCTAAACGAAAAAGGCTTTTGAGCTAATTCACATTCAAAGATGCCCACGACAATGCAAAATTACACTGGGCCAAAATTTTCATAAAAGTTCAACAAAGGAGGACCCCCCCCCCCCTCCCACCTCTCTCTCTCTCTCTCTCATATGGACTGTGTAGGATTGGCACAAAGCGTCCTCTCTCTCTCTCTCTGTGTCTTGTGTGTTTGTGAGTGTTTTTTTAAGGGATTGAGGTGAGGCAGATAAATAGGTTCTTTAATTTTAAAGGAAAAAGAAAAAAATGGATTCTTTCTTTGTACATATTCATTGCAAGTAAATAGAGCCTCATCTTTCTCTCACTCTAAAACACACATATGTAGTTGTGCATCTCTATATCTCTCACAAACACAGTGGGGGCATCGTCCTCTCTCTCTCTCAAAAACACAATCAATCATAGTGGGGCATCGTCCTCTCTCTCTCAAACACACACATAGTGGGGCATCACCCTCATTCTCTCTCTAGGATGCAAGAGGGGTTTTGGGGGACTAAAATGTCTCCAAAATCCTTTTCCCCCTTATTAGGGGAAAATTTTTTAAAAAATTCCGCCCCTGGCTGTTTGCATTTTTCTGCCGTCGACCAAGTTGCTCCAAGGCGCCGCCTAGGCGCTTGCCTTGAGGCAACCCTTGGCTGGGGAAGAGTGTTTTTTTTTTTGGGTTAGGAGAGAAAAAAAATCAAAAAGTAAGAAAATCAAAAGGGGAGCCAATATTTAGGATAAAAAGGAAATACAAGATGGGAAAAAAGGATCAATCCTCTTCTCAAAAAATAAAAAGATCATTGCTCTTTTCAAAAAAAAGAAGGATCATTGCCTTGATATCATGTCAGAGAAGGGAGAGAGTGATGAAAGAAAAGAGGGAGAGGAAGGGAGAGAAATGTGATAGTGGCAATAGGGTCTCACGGGCCTCTCACATCAATTTTATATTAATAAAAATTAGTGAAAAGGGCGAAACTGCCCATACAACATGAAATAGGACATAGGTCCTGTTAACTTAAAATATAAGAGAACTATTTTGTATGTACTTTCTAGGAGGCTTATGGGCCTAATGTCATGAATCGATTCCAGGCTTTCCTTTCTTGGCATCTGGGCGATGAAAGTTGCACCCATTGTTGCTATGTTCACTTTTCGCCATAGGTAAAAGTCTTGGAGCATCATCATTAAATTTCAAATTACCACCTCCCAAATTCTGAAAGAAGGCCTATGTTCAAACCAATCGGTGTGTTCCCCTAATAGCTTGTTACAAGGAACTGCATCTATCGATGTCACCATTCTCCCTTTCACCTTGAAAGCCTCCTGAAAGTACTGGACAACCACCTGCTCTGTGGTTATCATATCATGGAAGTACTGGACAACCACCTGCTCTGTGGTTGTCATATCATGCAGCTGACTACCTGGGACCTTCAAACCCTGTATATTGGGTTTGCGTCTTAGAAAAACTTTGTAATGAGGAATTAGCCACTTCTTGATCTTTTGCACTAGAAAATTTTCTCAATTTTTACGTAAGTCATTTAGAGATATTTTCAATTCTTCCCTTCTGCCCCAAGAGAATGTGCCCAACCTCTGCTTTTGCGTCTAGCTGCTGGCCTGCTGCAGGTCTTTAGAGATTTTGGAAATCTTAGTTCGCAGGCATCCAATCTGGTCCCATTCCAGGTTTTAAGTTCTCCTTTAGAACCTGGAGTTTTTTTTTACAGTCTATAATGGTGCCATCCTTGGACTTGGATAGAGATCCACCATCTCTTGATGAGACCAGAAAGGTTCTTGTATTTGAGCCACATTGTCACATTTTTGTAAAGTTTATACATTTCAATGAAATACGGTCAACCTTCAATAAAACATACTAAAATTAGAGTTAATTCTTTATTGTTAGCGAATCCAATATGACATGTAAATTAGGTGTAATCATCTTACTCCCACTCTTTTTTGAGATAAATAACAATCAACAGGCAAAGAACTGCATCGATTTTTGGAAAATATTTGTTTTATACACATAATTTCATTGTAATGTTTAAAACAAATGCAACTTGTTGGGGAGAAATATTAATGGCTGCATTTAATCTCTCAAAGCTAACCCCCCACATGTACCCACATGTATCTGTATTACCACAATAGAGTGTTCATCTCTTGGGAAATGCAGTACATCAACCACATTATTTGAAGGCAATACATCTAGCTATCTGCAAAAGGTTTTTTGTGTGCATGTGTGTAGCTTTTGAAAGGGCTGTGTAATTTATGCTTTATAAATTATTTGCCAATGGGTCTTTTGATGTGGAAAACTTGTACTTCAAGTTTTTTTGTTCTTTAGTTTTTAGTTTAGTTCAGTTTGTACCCTTTCCACATTCAGACATACATACTTGTGTGTAGGTCATCTACCCACTCGCACATATGCAAACTCGTAGATAGATGTGTGGATCCAGTTTAAGATAACTTGGAGGCTCAAGTAAAACTCATTTGTTTTTCAACATGATGCAATCAGATTATATTATACAAGCTTTTTTGGACTTATTTGATTCTGTTTTTTGGATTTTTATAGGAAAACCGAAATATGAAGTTCAGGTGCAAACTAGCAGGAATGGAATAGGCCATTGAAAGTTCAGAATTTTGCTTTAAGGTGCCACTTCGCACTCTCATATGTATGTTTTTGGTGGGGTTGCTAAGTGTTTTTAAACCTCTGAATCGGTTTTCTAAGATCATTTTGACCATTCTGTTTGCACTATTCTAAGCTGGAGGATCATTTTGGTCATTGATAATTGCACTCCTTTTTTGTGACATATTATAGCGACATCCTTGATGATGTTCAATTATTTTAAAAAACTTACATGATGGTAGTACCCGTGGGTAATTTGACATGCATAAGATTGAAGATGATGGTCCAGTGATCATGCCACTTGAACAGTGTTGTTCTCCACTGAATGGTCACTTCACTTATGTAATTTGCATCATGGTTATTAGAACCAGACTAGACCGGCTGGTTTGACTGGTGGACTGGAGAACCTGTGCCTGAACAGGTCCGTTTGAGCCTCTGGACTGGCCCGTCCAGCAAACCAGCACTGCTGAACCGGCTGCTCTTGATGAGGAGCGAAATTCCCAAAAATACATTGTTTTTTTAAGAAAAAAACACGGACTTCTGCGACTTTGTTTTCGTTTTTTTTGTTCCTTCTAAATAAGTATGTGGCTGCTGTGGTCATTAAAAAGTTTGGGGGATTTGGACTTTGAGGGTTAAAATAATAATAATAATCATAAGACAGAGCGAGCAATCTTGGTGTTTTTTGCTCTCTCTCTCTCTCTCTCTCCCCAAAATCCCTACTGGCCATTTTCTGGCGTCATTCCTGCCATTGATCTGTACTAAATTACATCCTGAATAAGTCTTTTATCCCCTTTCTATTATTGTTTGTTTTATATTTGGAAATAAAAATATTATGGTTTTCAAGATTTATGCAAGAAATGATCGTTTAATCCCTGTTTTCCTAAAATAATTCAGGTTGTATCTTCCATTCATGTTAATGGTTGTTTTTTATTGATTTTATTGAGTGTCTTCTTGTTAAGTTTGGCTTAGTTGTCTGCTATGCATGATTTTGTGCGTGAAATTAGGTTTCTTGTGATTTAGGCCTTTCATTGTTTTTTGTATTTTATTTGTTATATATTATGTAAGACACAAATGGAACTAAGCTATAGGTATTGTCAAAAATTGACATCTATGGAACTACCGAACTAGTGTGAATAACTAAAGACAAAAATTTGGTGTTTAAATATATTTCAGTTTCTTTATTTTAATGGATATTGTCTGTTTTTCTTTGTTTCCTATTTTTTCTATTTTTCATATTTTCTTCAATGTTTTCATTTTTTTTATTTCTTTTTTTTTTTTTTTTTGGTTAATTATGTGATCACGCTGGCTAGTGAAGCAGTATGGACCAACCAATCTGACCGGATTCCTTCACTTACTTGGTCACCGGTCCAGTCTTGATAACATTGATTTGCATAACTTTTGGTCTGGTCTAGAAAATTATGGGAATTAATATATTCATAAATTGAAGCCATATTCTATAATTTTATGGGCATCATGGTATTCATAAACTGTTAGTCCTCAACTGTGGTTTCTGGTAACTGTCTTGCTTTGGAGAATTGGACATCTTGTTAGGACCTGGTACATGGACTTTACTCAGAAATCTCCTTTGGCATCAGATAATTCAGATTAGTTTGTTCTCCTTCCCTGGTGTGTAAAAGTGTGTTTGCAACAGTCGTAACAACCTTGTTGACATTTCCACTTCCTCTTCTTTCAGAGTGCACCAAGACAGGGAGTCCCTATGGTCAGTGATTGAATGTCTGGCATGGTTGCATCACATCTAGGACTTTGGGGTCAGGGTCCATCACAATTGCAAATGGACTGGAAAAGTGATTCGCAATCTTTTCCTACCCTATACATGGACTAGCCAAAATTTTCTTCTTCCATCTATCTGTATGTTCTCAATGAAGCTTTCTGGGCATCTGTCAATTCCACTTCAGGCCCAAGTTTTGTTCCTCTTTATTGCAGCCTTAACTAACCTCCTCCCTGTTTCATCCATTCCATATTTGTGTTCCACTTCTTGGTTCTACAAATGATCTCCTTGTGTTTCTAGCCTCCACCACCACTTAGATAGCAAAGCCAGATTTATTTCCTTGATCCTTATAAACCCCCAAATCTCCCTTTATTCTTGGTAAATGTACTTTGTTCCATTTCACTAGATAAACATTGCTTTGTCTTGGTGATCCACCCAAAGGAAGTCTCACATCAACTTTCCAATCCTATTCACCAGCGACATTGGATGTGCAATAAATGGGAGAGTTGACTGCTGTAGATTTAGTGAGAACTAATCTCCCTCCTATGGGGATTAACTTTATCTTCCAAATTGCTAATTTCTTTTTGAGACTCTGTACAACACTGCACATCCCTTTGATAGGCTTCCCATGGCATGTAGAAGGCCTAAGTATTTGTTCTCTAATACATCGGTCCCACGCAAGACAGACCTGGCTAAATCTATTAGTTGGTCTCCTTGTAAAGCTACTCCCAGAAGCTTTGCTTTTGTCATGTTCACTCATATCCTTGATGCAACTTCAAAACATCGTGAGAAGAGCCATAAATTCTTCCCATCACAAAATGGCGAGTGGCATCTGCATATTGCAAATGTGACCAGCAGTCCATTTGGGGACGACCTTAAATTCCACAATCTACCAGATGCGTTTACCCTATCCAATACTCCACTAAATGTCTCAGCAACTAATAGCAAACAAGAATGTGGATAGCAGTGCCCCTTACCTCACTCTCTAGAACTGGAGTAGTCTATAGGGGATCCATTAATTAGTACTGAAAAGGGTGAAGTAGACAAGCACCTTGCCATCTTATTCTTCCATCTATCCTCAAATCCCAAAGCTACATCGTCTCCTCAAGGTAATCCCAGTAAATCCTGTCATAGGCCCAAAACACATGTGCACGAAGTACTACATAAGTGCACTTAGTACTTAGTCTTGTGTTCTGCGCATCGTGCAAGAAGAGAGCTCCCTGTTTTTATTAATAATCTGGCGCAATTGCCCTACCATAGGGTTGTATCTTAATTGTTTTTCTCAGTTTTTATTAATATAAAACGGGTAGGGGGCCTTCTCCCCCACTTACTTACCCAAAAAAAAAAGAAAAAGAAGAGAGCTCCCTGCCTCCCCGTGGTCTAGAAGCCATAAGTTGCCCGCAGAAGCGCCGCTCGAGGAACCACCTGTTTAGCTTCTGTGGGTAAATAGAAAACTCGGAGCTCTCGCTGGTAGGTGGCTCCTGAATTTTTGAGCCCAAATGGCATCACTGTGTAGCAATAGATCCCCTTGGAAGTCAAGAAGGGTGTAGCTTGGATCCAGCCTCAACTGCAAGCCATCATGGGACTCCCGCAAATCATGACAAGTCTCCTCCACCTGGGCCAACTCTGCCCTCATTCTCTTCCTCTCGGAAGCATCATGCATAAAACACTCAAACCAAGGAGAACAGAAGACGATCTGCTGCATTGACCATGTGGGTGCACAACGCTCGTCATAAGTGCAGGCAACATTGCTACACTTTGCACATGAATAGTGCACATTCGGTGGTTTGTGTTGTGCACGTGCACTTAGTACTAAGTCTTGTGTATTGTGCTATGTTCACAACACAATCAATCTATGCGCACCATTAATGTGCAAAGTGTAGGCGTGTTGCCTTCTCAAGGTCCAGTTTCCAAATCACCCCACTTCCTTTCTTGGTGACTTTGAGTGAATGCATTCATGACCCACTAAGGCCCGACCCTGAACTGTGAAGGTTTTTAATGTCTTCCACCTCGTCTGACCAATTAGATGAAGGTGGAATTTGTAGCATTCTTTTCCTTCCTCTTTCATGGAACTCATTGAAGATGTTATGAAATTTGCTCTAGCGCATTTCCCAAAGGATGCAGTTTGTATAAGGTATTGAACTTAAAGAATCAAAGTAACGCGCACCTCTAAATCTTGCTAAAAGATGCAATTCTGGTGCCAAAAACCGTTACAATGGCCTAAAAATTTATTTTTCACCCCTAATTATGTAATTTAAAGCTTAGATCAAGCCAGATCTATAAACGCTTAAAAAATCTGAAAATGGATGGTCCAAATAATGTGTTAAAAGATGCCCTTTTTTTAGGACTTGAATCTTTTTTTATTTTATACATCTTGAGATCCGGATGATCAATCCTAGGATTTTTCATTGTCAGAACAACCTCTGCAGTTTGATTTTGAGGTGCACCTTACTTCTACTGGATAAGGTTGACACCATACATAAATGTTTTCTTCCCCAGAAGTCTTGAAAGAAAGCTATAAGGATGCCATGAGGACCTGGCACTACATCTTTCCTCATGGTGAAAACTGTGCTCTTGTTTTCTTCTTTAGAAATGGCCTTTCCAGTAATGCAGTACTGTCCTAGCAAGTATAAGGGAATTTCAGCAATCAAAATTAGGGGCCTAATCTCCACCTTGAAGGAATTTGGAAGTTCTCACTATAGCATTGACATTCTCATGGGAACCATTGAAGGAGTTCACCTGAGATCGTGATTCCTTGGATGAACTTTGATCTCCTTTTGTTCACTATCACATGAAAGAATTTGTTGTTCTGATCACTTTTTGAATGTTAATTGTGGGGCTTGTGATATTGCTCAGGCTGTTAGAATCTGGAGGCCTAGTTTCTTTTCAGTTTGCTTGATGGTGACATTTAGCATTAGGCATAGGTGGCATGGAGGTCTGGCATGTGTTCTGAGATGAAGCTCCACAAATGGCTAGTCTTGACTTATTTACATGTGATCTGAGACATGGAGTGCAAATGTTTTTGAGTGCTAAGACTGTTTATACACACACAAACATGCACAATACCTCCTCTCTCTCTCTCTCTCTCTCTCTCTCTCTCTCTCTCTCTCTCTCAATGTCTGGAACCAATGCTACTCCTATGGATATGATACTTTCCATAAAAAAATGCTGTTATGGCATTCCACATTCACAGACCACATTTCATAAATGATGGTTTCTTTTGGTGTACTCCAGACTGCAAATAGCATATGCTCTTATCGAAGGTTCAGATTGAATTTGGAAAAAATTGTTCTTGGGTTTAGGTTGACTTCAGATAAACATCCATTCCCAAATTAAAAATATATATATATACCCTTTGAAGTTCTTCGTTCTGCCCTGCCTTTATCTTTACTGGAAGCTTCTTCTCCCTTTGGTTCTATTCTTATGCTTATGTTGGTGTAATGGATATATAATGGTCTGGTTTTCGTGTCACAGGTATGGACCGAGAAGGATGTTTCTATGGTTCTGGTGAAGTGCTTAATCCAAAATTGATTTCTTCCATCCTATTTTGCAGGAATCAAGCTACATTAGTAAACCCTAGTTCCTGGTACACTTTCTGTGCCCGCTTATCCGAAAAGGATTGGTGTGAATATCAATTGATATATTTTTGCTCGTTTACTGAAGTTTGTTATATATTTTTTTTTGAGCGGGGATTTTCTTTCATGGAGCGTATTGGCAATTTGTATCTCCACCAGAATAACCACATCACATCTATATGGTTCCAAGCAGGGTCTACATACCTGCAGTGTTTACGAACTCGAACTGCATGACCAACTTGCCACGTTGTGAATTGAACAATAAACTCAAAAAAAAACCAGTGGAAGTTTTTAAATTTGAAAGAAGCTGGAAAATGGGACCGGCATTGTCTTGCAGGGATTTGAACTGAAGCAAAACAGAGCTCCTACCCCGCTCTTCCGAATATTTTTTACACTCCAGGGAATGTCAATTTGTGATAACATTAATATAGTAACACAAAAATTCTGTATAGTAAAAAAAAGGTTAATCCAATTTTTTAATTATAAAACGAGACAAGCTCGAAAGCTGATTTAGTGAGTTTTTCAGGGTTGGAAATCAAAAATTTAATTAGTAGCTGCTACAATATAAAGCATAAGGAAAATTGTTTCATGCGGGCTGGACCGCATTTCTACATATGTGGTCCAGAAAGTGCAAAGCATTGATCTTAAAGGTAGATGCAAGTACGTGTTCCATCTAAAAGCAATAGAAACTAACTGTTTAGATGTTTTTTCACTCGAATTATTATTTCTAGTTTTTAAAATTTATTAATTTTTTCATATTCATGATCTGATTACATGTCTTTAAAAGTTAAGTCTTAAAATCTATCTCAAAAATAGATTTATTAAGAAGCCTGCATTTCGACATATGCGGGCTTGGTCGCATAGAAACCGGGTCCAAAGCATGATGTGTCGTAGTTACCCAGCAATAACATTGCTGCTGCATGAGGAAAAAGTGCATGAATAAACATAATGCCATTTCATTTTATTATTTACCTCTGTTTGGGAAATGTATAGAGATTTTGTTATTTGAATCTAAAAAACAATCTCTCATATTTTATACTTAATGATTGAGTCTTTTTTTTTAAGAGCGGATATTGTGTTTAGTTTTATTTTTGTATATGAATCAGATTTAGGTCAAATTTGGGACATTTTCTCTTACTCAGATTTAGGTCATATTTGAGACATTTAGACTTCTCACTATCATGTATTTGTAAAAATTACAAAAACAACAATCATATGAAAGGAATAAAAATTAATTAAAACCCCCATGGTATTTATAAGATTATTTTGGTTATTTATGTTTTTTTTTTTTTTTTCTGATGGTGCATGAAACTTGAGAAACATGGACACCTAAATTTCGAGTTTAATTTGTATATAAGAAAAGTGAAATATAATATGTTCCATCAAAAGTAGGACTTTAACGTAAAATATCAAACAACGAATTCCAAGAAACTTTTTTCATAAATTCTCCTTATTTCTCTCCTTGGACATTGTGTCGGCTTGTTCATGTACAATCGAATTGTCAAACTCAATTTGCAGCAGTTCTGGCAGGATCGCGGAAACCTGTGGGGTTGTTTAGATTAGCCTTACCTTAAACACTTGAAGAACCTTTTTCTGTTTTTTTGGTCTCCAATGTTGCCTACTGAAGGTGTTCCTTTTCAATCTAACAGGACCGTAACCCGGTGCTGGTCCCTCTTAGGGGTGGGCTGGAAATGGTATTAACTTTTCGCTTATGACTTAGGACTCGAACCCGCACTCTTGTGTTGATTACCAGAGCATTTTACTTTCATATCAAGATTAAAAACAAACAAAGGCTCCACCATTGGTGGGAGTTTTCAAACTCAACTTTGACGGTAGTTTTTTGGGGAATTCGGGGAGTATTGAGGAATTGGGAAAGAAGTACAGTGTTTGTGGTTACCTGGTATAGAGAAGTAGTGAGGAATCGAGAAAGAAGTATAGTGTTTGGGGTTACTTGGTTACAGAGGAGTAGTGAGGAATTGGAAAGGAAATATAGTGTTTATATATACAGAAAGAAACATGCTGGTCGAGGAAACAACTAAGCAGAATTTCTGGCTCTTCTTCATGGTTTAAAGCATTTTGTGGCTAAATATTTGGGCTCTTACTGTGTGATTTTATTCATGGTTTAAAGCATTTTGTGGCTAAATATTTGGGCTCTTACTGTGTGATTGAAGGTAGCTCCTTGAATGTAATTAAATGGTGCTAATGCAAGCAGAAGACCTTTTTGGGCTCTTACTATGTGATTGAAGGTGGCTCCATAAATGTAATTAAATGGTTGTAATTAAATGGTGCAGATGCGAACAGAAGACACCTTGGGACTTTAGCGCTGAAGACACTTTGGGAGTTAGGTCTTTAGCTTTTTGTGGCTAAAAATTCGGGCTTTTACTGTGTGATTGAAGGTGGCAACTTGAATGTAATTAAATGGTGCAAATGCGAGCAGCGAGTTTAGGGTATGGTTTTTAGGCTCTAAACAATCAAATTAGAGCTTACCTTCAAATAGTGTCGAGAAATGTGGTTTCAATATTGGAAATATTTGTGATAGCTTTAAAATATATTTTCATCTTTATGTATAAAATTTAAAACTTCAAAAATAGTGTAACATCTATGAAAACTTGAAAATTGACGGTACAAAAATGCGTTTCAAAATACACTATTTTCAAAACTTGAAATCATTTTTTTTTCATGTCCATGAATCATGATGTTGAGATGATCAATTTGAGGATATTTGGGCATCAAAACAACCTCTTTTAGTGAAATTTTTGAGGTAGGTTCTAATTTGATTGTTTAGAGTCTCGGCTCTATATAAACTTTTTCCTTTTCTTTAAGCAATTCATTCATTTAAACTTTATCTACAGAAGTCAAGAGTTATCTACATAAGTATGGAGATGTAGTTAGATGACAATTTTAAGCAACTCGTTTGAGTTCCCATCTAAATTTTATTCAATGTGTTTTTTTTTTTGGCAATATTCAAAACTTTTTCTCAGAATTTCATCCAATGTTCTCCTTATTAATAAGAAGTGCATGTCTTGAACAATAGGCCCAAAATTCTATTGGTGAACTTGCTTGGCTGTCGCGCCTATGCACCGAGACAAGCACTTGTCTTGAGTCAAATTAAAAAATATATCACCTGAAATAATGAAAAGTAAAAAACATTTCATATATATATATATATGATTTCCTAACGTACTAGCTATACTGAATAGTATATGCTATTAGCTCTTAGTATCTTTATTGGGTGGTTCAAAATTTATATTATTATTTGAATTTTAATCTTTTTATAGAAATCAGATCGTAATAAAATTTTGGATGTGTATACTAAAAGATAGGGTGCACAATAAAAAAATATAAAGAATTTTTTTTTAAAATATGAAATGATCGAAATACCCCTAAAAAATGATGGGCGTAATTTGGTCATTTTAAATTCTTGTAAGTAATTGTTTTATATTTTTATATGGTGCGCAATAGTGTTAGGTATATACACCTAAAATTTCATCTTAATATGATTTATAGAAAATATATTAAAATTAAAATAGTGATATGAATATATATATAT